CTTCTTTGTCTTCAAAACCCAAATAAACCCCGCGGAGAGTGCTCCAGCCTACGCCCAATCGTGCTTCTAAACACGATCCGGAAGGCTGTGTCGCTAATAGTCCTCCACCGCATCACGCCTGCGGTCGACACATTTCTATCCAGTCATCAGAGCGGCTTCCGCAAAAGCCGTAGCACCGCGGACGCTGTCTGGGCCCACAAATGGCTATGCGCACGTGTTCAACAGTATCGAGAAATTGTTCAAGTGCTCGGGTTGACCTCTCGCGCGCGTTCGACACCATCGACACCATCGACTGCCAGAAACTGCTCGAAGTCCTCCAAGAATTCCTACAAGATGATGAAATCCGGCTCATCCGTCTGCTGCTTTCGGATACAACGCTCTCGTTCCGCATTGGCCGCGACGTCCTCGACGCGTTTGACAGCAACACAGGTACGCCACAGGGAAAAGATTTTCAAAACATTACGTTAGTTCGTATGTTGGATATACATACATGCATAATATCTTATGTTAAATATCTTGAACATAACTTACCGTATTCCCATCCGCATGTCTTCATCTGTTTGGTTGCAGCACTATCTTTCGCGATTGAGGACCACCTGATTCAGGCAATTCCTCCTGCTCAGTATCCGAATCCTCGTCAGTCAAATCGCCAATGCTCCAACCTTCTTCCCGAATGTCACCACCATCGCCAACTCCATCATCATCATCATTATCATCATCATCATCATTTTCTTCTTCTTCTTCTTCTTCTTCTGGCTCTTCACGCACATCGGGACCTTCGTCAGAGTTGAGATCCGTGCATTGTTCAGCACCGGTGGTCATCAAGTTCGGGTCTCCATTGTTAACACAACCAGAGATCGTGAGCGAGGTCACACCAGTGCTATATTCTGCGCTTGGTAAGGTCTATAGATACACAAAAGTTAGATTATGTTAGTCTAATGTTGAATCCGATTGTCAAAGAACATTTTGTTGGAAGTGTCAACATTACGTACCGCGTCCTCACGGATATCGCCTTCTAGGATTTGCCGGCGGGGGTTTCTTGAGGCAGTCAAGGCAGAAAATACCACATGACGAACACTCCCTTTGTCAACCGTCTCCTCCGCGACCGTTACAATAATATCACCTACCGCATCCGTAACTTCCGCCGTGACAGCACGTTCATCTTGCCGGGGGGTGTTCGTCGGCTTAGGCAGCCCTCTCTCGTCACCAGCTGCTCTCCACATTCTCGGGACTTGGTCCGGAGCCTGCTGCTTCTCGCCTGGCGTTTTGGCCTTTCGGCTCGTAGCTTTGCCTCCGCAGGGGCTTGATTTTTTTTGTGCGCCACCCGTCTTCTCCTCCGCAGGAACGGCTTTTTCGTGCACACCGGAGGGCTTCTCCTTCGTTGATGCCTTCGCCGCCGCCTTCTTCTGAGCTTGAGCTCTTGTACGGAATCCCGGCATCTCCTTTGTGGTCTCTCGTCGCATACTTCGCTCCCGACGATTGGCCTCTGCCCATCGTTGCTTCTCCTCCGCCGTCAAAATGTTGCGGGGACGGGTCCGACCATTCTTCTCTTCGTGGCGTTTTCTCAAATGAGAGAGGTCAGCTGCTGTCGGTTGGTGGGTGCTAGTACCTGACTCTGGTTCCTTCAACCAAATCCTCAGATAAGGTAAACCTAGTCCTGTACTTTTGTCCGTTTTACACGCGAAAACATATTTTAGTTTTTGTATTTCACGAAGGCCAATACAAAATTTCAGTAAAAAAAAACTTCTTATGTTTAGCCGTACAACATAGCATAGATGCAGCGAAAAATTATGTTGTACTAGTACGGTCCAACATAACGGGAACTAAGGGGTTAAAGAGAAACTGCACTTTGGCATGTGGAGATTGTTGCATTAGTACAGACGAGAGGAAGTAGCCAACCGCAAGAGACAGACCTTCATATATTGATAATATATATATTATATACCGGAGGTTATCAGAAGGGGGAGTATAATATTCTGAATGTGCAGGGAACCACTGTCTTCGCGACATGGCGACATCAGCTCAAACGGTGATATATCCGCGATCGTCGTGAGCTAGAACTTCGTACATGCATCCCTCACGAAAGTATGCTTGTGGTGTAGCTGGGTGCTTCTAAAAGTGAGTTTCCTGGCGACGCGGGGGCTGTCTGA